CTTAGGTAAAGCAAAGCCAGTTTCTTTTGCTTGCATCCAAAGACCTCTAGTTGATAAAGCCTGTTCAAAAAGGTTGCTATAATCATTCTCTTGGAGTCCTTGTATTGTTTCTATCCACATTTTCTCAGATCTGACTTCAGTCCTTACCTTTTCTCTTATTTCTCAAAGTATTATTTTTGCCTTTTCTAGTCAAGTTAGCAGCGGATTCTTCTTTGTTCCTTCTTTATCCAACTGAACAAAGAGGAAAGTTCGTAATGCTCTGTAATACCATTAAAGTAGTGTGCAGTGCTGGCACATGGCCAGATGTGGGACATCACTGCCTTGTCAGGAAGTGGCTGCTGCTTTGGCATCCTGCTTGATTGAAATTACAGTTGTCTGACTCACTGATTATCTTTAAAAGGAAACATATCTGTCAAGCTGTATCTATACAATTCCATAAAAACAAAGTCTGAGGAAAATTCACTGTCATATCATTTCACTTGGAAAAGAACCTGAAAAAATTTTGTTTGTCAAGCGAACTCTCTCCAGGAATTCTTACTGTCCTTAGCTAAAGATTGCTCATTTTGCGCTCAGTTCTCATCTCACTTAATGGATTGTACTAACGGATAATGGACTCCTTTGAATGTAAATATTTTTGTGTGAATTCATTGCTGGAATAATTCAGAACATTTAATAAATATATTCAGTAGTCTGGTACTGATGCTGTGATGGCTTTGTAACTTTAATAAATATTATGAATTTCTAGAATATGATATTCTTCAGGAGTGTGTACAAATATCTTTGAAAAGATTTTAAAGATCCTAAAGAGATTTTATGAAAAATATACACAAATGAGTGCCATGTATAATAAAGAAAAGCTCTTTCTAAATTAACAATTTAATAATTTTATATAAATTTTTTTAAGTCTTGTATTAAAAGTACGAAAGCTGCCACCTTATGTCACAAACTCTAGAGAATACAGATAGACACAGTAATTTTAAATCAAGTAAAAAAATGATCTTTCAAGCCAGCAATCAACTCTTTTACTTGAGACAATGCTAAAATGTTTTGGTAAGAAAAAAAGAAAAGGAGCAATAAGGAAGAAAATACGGAAGAGATGAAGAAAATATAAAGGAATGTTTACTCAACAAAATGGAAGAATTATTTTATTATAGCTACTTCACACTGGCAAGAACATTAAAAATAAATTGGGTGAGGGAGAGTTCTGTGAAACAGGATAAGACAAGAAGATAGGAGTAAAATAAACTGTTATGGGAAGAATTTTGAAGCTAGACCAATGATATAAGAAGCTAAATTCAGAGTGGCTGCAGAAAGCTTGGGGGGAAAAAAAAACATAACAAAACATGGCGTAAAGGTTTAAAAGTCATATAGAATATAGAAAAAAGAGTCAATAAATAAGACTAAGAGAAGCTGATATATGTGGAGGACAGAATAGCATAATTATTGTAATTAAAAAAGAACAGAATAAGTGGGTGAGAATTCAGTTGATATTGTTTTATTTCTGAAGTTGGTAGGAGAAACAATGCAAACATTGTATTCAGAGACATATAGATAATCACTAATAAAACAAAAGCAGGCTGTCTACTGCCTAAATTGCCAGGTCAAAAGATAAATTAAAAATACCTACAGACCATATAGTGAAAGAAAGAAAACAGGAAAGAAGCATAAAAAAATATAAAGATAAAATAAGATGAAAAATAAGACAGAATATTAAAACACATTTAAAAGGGACATTCTCATGTATTTGAAAACTCAGATTGATTCAAAAGAGCAAAACCTAAAATGACTCCATTAAAATATATATATATGGGCAGTGATATTCCGGGGAGAGGGGGGTGCAAATGGGAGTTTAAAAGGGTTGCACTGTTATGATCCAGCAGAATTTAGTTCAGGATAAAAGTATTGCATGGGAATGGAGCACTGTAGAATGTTGAAGGTACAGTCTGCCTTCAGATAGAGCTCTCCTGAACTAAATAGTACATTGCGTAGTCCACTGAAACATACAAAGGACATATATAGGAAACAAAAAGATAATTGACAAAGAAAAGATTACAGATAGTGTATAGATGTAGATTCCTGTCTCTTTGGTATTATTTTCTTGGCTCACATCCAGTGTAAATGGCTACTTAAAATTATTTCCTAATTTTGTTTCCTTTAATTTTTCTGTTTACCCTTTACAACCACTCTTTGGATGTGAAGTATTCAGTCCATCAAACCTATCACCCCTTACTCTGCAGACCCATCTCCTGTCCTAGAAAATAGTGGCCATGAGACAAGTAACCTTACCTCTCTGCCTACTCTCCCTCACAAACTATTTTGTTTCTTTGCATAGAAGAGATGTTTCTCACTCTTAACATTAATGCCTACCATTTCCCCTGTTCTGATGGTGTCAGTATCATGTCCCATGCTATTAACAGACTGTATATCTCAAGCTCAGATCTCTCTTGTGCAAACACACAACAGCCTGAGGTGCCCATCAGCCATCTCGAGCTCATCGTGTCAAAGCTGTGCTCATCACTTTCCTCCTAATGTTGCTCTTCCGCTAGAATTCATTACTTGAGTGAGTGGAGACACATTTCCTGGGAGACTCACTTTCTCCCTCTGAGGGCAGTGCTTGGTGATTGGTGGAAGGTGTAGTGGGTTTGCCCGTATTATGAATGGATTGTTTAGCTATGGCAAAAACTTGATCATATTATGTACAAAAGCAGCAGTGTGATCATCGTTTTGGCAATGGAACATTTGGGAGAATTACCTCTATTGTATGACTGCTCCTTTTCTCCTTCAAATTCATACTTGTGCCATGATTCTGGGGCCGAAAAGCATTTTCACTTGAGTATGGGAAGTAACTTTCTCCATTGTTCAAAGAAGACATGGAATCATTAAAGGGAGGGAGAGAGGGATGGGGGCAGGGAGGCCTGGAAAAAGTGAAAACAAGATGGTAAAACTTCTGAAATGGGGAGTTGGAGGGTTAGAGATGACAGGGTGTAAAAACTGGCTCTGTCTATGAAAGGGCAGGCTAGCTATACATAAGCAAGTTCTGCATGCTTTTACTCACTGATAGTAACACCGTATCTTTATAAAGCATTGGAAGAAAATATGATTATTGACTCATAAAGAGAGACTCCTCTGTGCTCTCCTGAGGAAAAATGAACTATAAAGTTCCATGGAATTTTATTTATTTATTTTTTATTTTTTAGCTGAGCCATCCTGTCACCTGTTGGCTGCGGCTGCTCAGCTCAGGCCGGGAATGGAACCGGCGACCCTGTTGCTCAGGGCTCGCACTTTTTTCTTTTTCTTTTTTTTTTTTTTAGATTTTTTTTTATTGGGGAATTGGGGGGATGGGAACAGCGCTGGGGAATTGGGACAGGGAACAGACAAGTTGCTGTCGTTTTGTTCTTCAGTCTAGTTGTGGAGGACGTTGCTTCACTGGCCCAAGTTGGCACCATCACTGCACTCTTCCCTGGCGAGGCAGATCAGTCGCCGGCTTCTGGATGGCCGCTCACGCTGGCTGCCAGCTACACATGGTAGCTCATGGCAACCCACTCCACAGAGGCTGCAGCCTACACCGCTGCCGGTGACTCAGGGCAGCACAGCTCCAGGTTGAGCTGTTGTTCAGCATCTTAGCTGTGGAGGGCAGTGTCACTGGCCCTTATATGTGGGATCCGAACCTGGGCCCTCTGGCGTCCCAAGCCAGTTCTTAACTATCGCGCTACTCGACTGGCCCAGAGCTCACACTCTTGAGCGAGCTCTTAACCAACTGAGCCACTCAGCCGGCCAGGTTTCATGGAATTTTAAATTGCCCTTTCTTACTCATTAAAAAGCAGCAAGAAACTACTTTATCACTGTTTTAATATGTGAGAGTTTGAGAACATAATGTTTATTAGTTGGATATTTTAATACTTGTCCTGTATTTTTTCTTTTACTTTCTGTTGTAACTGTGGTGACAAGTTACTATAGAGTTATTTGAATCTGATTCTCAAAGGCGTATGGAATGGATGAGGGAGAGATGATGCTGGTTGTGTGTGAGAGAGACTTTTACATTTATGAAAAGGGACATGCATAAGTTACTAAGAATTGCAGCTCTTAAAGTCTGATTATTGCTTAAGAGTGTTTAAAATTGTTGAGGCAGGGGTAAGGTTGAGAAGCATAGATTTAAGATTTTGAGAAAAGCCAGGACCAGAGAGATCTGTTCTAGTTATATCCAGCTACTGAATGCTGAATGGTCACTTGAAACCATTCTTCTGGTTCATATCCTTTATTGCAGGTGAAATATTAATGCCTTGGGGGGAAATTCCTAGTGCCACTGCTTAAAAGGATCAGCAACAGCAAGTGTGATGTCATAACTGATAATTTAAAAGAATGTGACAGCCCTTATTGTTACATAGCGTATTGAACCCAATTAATCCTAAGAAATCTCGATATTCAGTGAAGCAGTTTCTGCATTGTGTCAACTTAAAATAAGGACCATGGAATACAGTCTCAACTGTATAATTTTAAGGCATTTAAAGCCAGGCTGCATTTGTACCCTCATTCAAGGTGAGTGCCTGTAGTCCAAGGGTGCTGTTCCCACATACATGCCCCTTTACTTCTGTGTCTTTTCTGCTTGCGGGCTTCTGTCTGCAGTGCATTTGCCTCTTTTAAGGGAGTGGCACATCACCTTTCATTCCTTTTGTCAAATATCACAACTAGCTGATACTGACCAGTCAGTATCAAATATGGATGCTCTTAGTAGATAAGAAAGTGGCATATCACTTACAAGTATTTTTGTTTTTAATGTGTGGAAATGCTAGTAGTTTATAGTACTTTGTAATCACAGGCTTTTAAAAGCAAGCTTTTGAGCAGAGAGTAATTCCTCCCACCTTTAACAGGCATTTTAACCAGTTTGCAGACTCCTACCAACTGTGTACCATAATAAAAAGACAACTGTTTGAATATCCTGTTTTATTTAGAGACAAGATCATTGTTTGAAGTTTCTTTTTTCCATTTATATTTTCTGCTAGGTATTAAGGTTCAGACATACCACAGTTGCAACAACAAAGAAAAATGTGGCAGCCTTGAGACGTGAAACTTACACAGTGGATTTTATTAAAAAGCAGATTGAGGAGTTCAACATAGGAAAGAGACATTTAGCCAACATGATGGGAGAAGATCCCGAAACTTTCACCCAGGAAGATATTGATGTAAGTACAGTTACTCTGTTGGAAAAGTAATTGATGTAGAATTTTAGATATTGAAAGCACTTTTCTTCAGCCTGAGCCCTTGAGCTCTGTAAATTTTAATCATACTGTCAGAATAAGGAAAAATGCCACTATACTTTGCAAGTTGAAATTGTGGTTTCAAAGAGAGATGCTACTCTGTATTTGAAGCATAATGAATATGGTGAGTTTTGGATTTTAACTAGAAATGATTCAATGTCGTGGGAGCCCTTCCTTATGAATGCTTATACATGACTTAGAAACATTTATCATGTAGCATAGCTTGAACCTTGGCTTTCTCACAAAACGACAAAACCAATGGTAATGGAAATACAGTCAAGTTTATATAGGAAATCTCATAAGTAAACCTAAGCCCAGTGTTTTTATCAACTTAACTATATATTTGAATTTTCAAAGTGAGAGCATATTCTAGGTGATTTGAGAATAGGTTAAACAGTATTCCTGTTCCACTCTTGAATTGCTATAATCCTGATAAAAGTAGTAATAGTCAGCATTACTTTTTTGCTAGACATGCCAGAAGAGCTAACAAAAGAACTTAAATTTAACAATTTTGAAACTTGTTCTAATTTTTTAAAAAGTAACATAACATCCCATGGTGATTTACATTTAAGAGCAAAAACATCATTCTATAGATTTCACATTTTATGTGATTTTAAATATATTATTATTTTACTCATTTTGTGTTTTTAGGAATTTTAGGGTTTTTTTTCATCTTTTTGTATACCTTTCCTAATTGTTTATAAATGGTACTTAAGTATCTTTTTAAGGCACCAGATCATCATTTTTGACTCAGAAGGATTTCTTATTGTCCTTGTAGGTCTAGGTGATTTGAAGTTATGGACTTCATAGCTGCTGTCCTGTTTTTGAATATTATGGTAATCTGGACAATACTTGAGGATATTAAGAAAACTGTAGTTTTATAATGCTAATTTTATTATAGGTAGTGTAGGTATTCATCCATTTTTAGAAGAGGAGACTGAGGCACAAAATAGATAAGCCCCATGTATACACATGACTTTTATTAATCTTTTGTTATTGGTATATATTGAGTATTACAATTTTAATATAGTTTTTTCCTTTCTTAAAATGTGTATACATTTTTTTGGCACTCTCTGTATATAAGTATGGGTAAGGAGAAAAGCTCTAAAACTTTAAACTTGGAAGCTAGTGTTCTTCATAGTCTCCTCATTTCATAAATAATGGGCACCTGACAGTATCCAGAATACATTACATAATTTTTAGCTACATTCTCAAAAAGATATGATTTTCAAGAATTGAAGAAAAGGACAAAAAGTAACTAGTGTTTGCATACTCCAAAAATTAATATTTTTTTTAAGAAAAACTGAGGAAAAGGACTAAAACCAAGATAAGATCTCCTTCCCCATTTAATAACATTTATCCTTTAAAAAGATCAGGCAATAATGAGCATCTTGGCATAATAGACATACTGTAGATTTATGTTTTCCAAATAGAAATACAATCTCTGCGTCTTTGCTCCCCTAGATCTTTTCTCTTGAGACAACTTCTTTTGCTGTTTCCTTTTCTTTTCTTGTTTTCTGATGGCTGTTTTATAAAGACATAATTCACATTTCATCTAAAACGTACAGTTCCCTGGTTTTTAGTCTGTCCCCAGAGCTGTGAGCCCTTGCCAGTCTAATTGTAGGACATTTTCATCACCCCATAATGATGCTTTGTGCCCTTCAGCAGCCACTCTGCACTTCCCCCGGCCTCCAGCTCTAGACAAGTACTTTCTGCTTTCTGTCTCTATAGATTTGCCTCTTCTGGGCATTTGTAAAAACAGAATCATATAGTATGTGGTCTTTTGCGATTGGCTTTTTTCACTTAGCATATTGTTTTCAAGTGATTCTCAAATCACTTAGAATATGCTCTCACTTTGAAAATTCAAATATATCATTAAGTTGATAAAAACACTGGGCTTAGGTTTACTTATGGGATTTCCTATAAACTTGACTGTATTTCCATTACCATTGGTTTTTATCTTTTTGTGAGAAAGTCAAGTTTAAGACTATGCTACAGGATAAATATTTCCAAATCATGTTTTATCATGCATCAGTAGTTCATTTTTTTTTGTTGCCAAATAATTTTCCATTGTATGGATATACCACATTTCTTTTTAATCTATTCATCAGTTGATGGGCATTTGAATTGTTTCCATTTTGGCCTATTATGAATACTGATGCTATACACGTGCTTGTAAAAGTTTATGTGAAGTCATGTTTTCACTTCTCTTGGGTATGTACCTAAGAAACTATTGCTAATCCAAGGTCATGAAAATAATGCTTTCTTCTGACAGTTTTATAGTTTTAGTTCTTACCTAAGTCTTTGATTCATTTTGAGTTCATTTTTATATGTGGAGTAAGAACGGGGCTCAGCTTCTTTGATCCAGTTGTCCCAGTGGCATTTGTTGAAAAGACTATTATTTCCCCATTGAATTGTTTTGTCACCCTGACCGGAAATCAATTGGCTGTAAATATGAGGGTTTATTTCTGGACTCTCAATTATATTTCATGATCTATATGTGTATCCGTATGCCAGTATTACACTGTCTTGATTACTATGGCTTTCTAGTAAATTTTTTAATTGGGAAGTGCCGGTACTCCTACTTTGTTCTTCCTTTTCAAGATCATTTTAGCTATTCTTTTCCCTTTGAATTTCCATATGAATTTTAGGACAAACTTGTATGTTTCTGCAAAGAACCAGCTAGGATTTTGATAGAAATTATATTGAACCTCTAGGTCAATTTTGGGAGTATTGCCATCTTAATATTAAGTTTTCTGATCTGTGGACATGGGATATCTTGCTGCTTATTTAGATCTTCTTTAATTTCTTTAATGATGTTTTATAGCTTTCAGAGTTTAAGTTTGGCATTCCTTTTAAATTTATACCTTAGGAATAATTTTTCTAATGTTTAAGTTAAAAGCATTAATTTCTTTTTTTTTAAAATTCTATTTTAAGTAGAATTGTTTTCTTAATTTTATTTTTTGATTTTTTTACTATAAGCAATAGAATTGCAATTAATTTTTGAATATTGATCTTGAATCCTACAACCTTGCTGAATTCATTTACCAATTCTTATAGTTTTTAGTTTTTTAGTGGATTTCTTAGGATTTTCTGTATACAAAATGTCACCTGCAAATAGAAATAGCTTTACTTTTTTTCCTTCTAGTCTGGATGCCTTTTCTTTCTTTTTCTTGCCTAATTGCCCTGGCTAGCACCTCCAACAAAGTTGAATAGACATGGTGAGAGTGGACATCTTCATCTTGTTCCTGATCTTAGGGGAAAGCTTTCAGTCTTTCACCATTAAATATGATGTTAATTGTGGGTTTTTTTATAAATGCCTTTTATCAGATACAGGAAGTTCCTTTACATATACATAGTTTGTTGAACACTTATCATAAAGGGGTGTGAGATATTGTCAAATGCTCTTTTTGTTTTTATTGAGATGATCATGTCTTTTATTGGTATGGTGTGTTGTTAATTGATTTTTTTCTCTTCTTTATCTTTATTAAATTAAAATAGTAACAACTGCTATCATATTATTGTTAGGACTAAAGAAACAAACAAGCCAAAAAAAAAATAGCTTATGATATAACAAATCACAAAGTCAACCATAAACAGTCTTAGTCTTATTTTACCTATAGATATGTCCTGGGAATAATAGATGCAAATGCAGATTTTTGTTTGTTTTTTAACATTGTTCACTGAAACATTACTTATTACTAGTAAAATAACATTTTTTTTAACTTTATTGGGGAGCAGTGTGTTTTTCCCAGGACCCATCAGCTCCAAGTCGAGTTGTTGTCCTTCAATCTTAGTTGCGGGGGGTGCAGCCCACCATCCCGTGTGGGAGTTGAACCGGCAGCCCTGTTGCTCAGAGCTCACGCTCTAACCAACTGAGCCACCCGGCTGCCCACTAGTAAAAATTTTAATATGACCTTGAGCTAACAAAGTATTAGATGTCAATTAAGATTAATTAGAATCATAGATTTTATCTTGTGTCAAACTTATACTTTAAAGGATGCAGTTTATTTGTTTGTTTGATTGTTTATTTTTTACATTAATTGATTTGGGTGTTAAACCAATTTATATTCCTGGAATAAATCCCACTTTGTCAATGTGGATAACCTTTTTTTATGTGTTTCCAGATTTGGTTTGCTAGCATTTTGCTGAGGATTTTTGCTTCTAATTGATTTGTAGTTTTCCTGTTACTGTCTGATTTTGACATCAGGATACTACCAGCCTCATAGAATGAGTGTGGAAGTGTTCTCTTCTGTTTTTGGAAGAGTTTGTGAAGAATTGGTATTAATTCTTCTTTAAATGTTTGGTTGAATTCATTAGTGAAGCCACCTGGGCCTGGGGTTTATTTGGGGGGGATACGTTTTTTGTTTTTTTTTACTGTTTGCTTTTAAAAACGGTCCTCCCCTCCTTGGGACCTGTATGTGGATCTCACAACCCAGCTGAATTTACTACTAAGGCATTTTTGAGCATCTCTTTACTACCTTTTTGGATGTACGTGGGACATATTTAGCTCACTGAGAGAAACAGAATCAGTTAGCAGTTTTGTAATTTTGTCTGAAGGGATAAACATTTTTATGACATAAGATTAAAAATGAATTACATCACTTGGAGTGTTTCATTGTTTGGATGTTTAATCAGAATATTAGTTTGGGATGTTAAAATTATTTTCATGAGGATTTAATTTCTACAGAGTAGACAAGACATAGAATTTAATTCAATTACCTAGTTAAAAGTCTAGGCTCACTGTACAATTTTCACATAGGTAAATTAGGTGCCGTTGTATTTAGATTAAGTCATTTATTTATGTATTAGAAACTGGTTTTTCTACACTGCTTATTAACCAATTGCTAAAATAATGATAACCAAAACCATCTATGAAATGCATTTAAGCAAGCCTTTTTAAGATTTAAATTATCTATTTTCAT